AAAAAAAAAAGAAAATATGTTCTATATTTTAATTATTATTATTTTGTCATACAATGAGTTTTATCATAAAGAAAATTATTTTACAATCATATTCTATTCAATAGAAAATCCTATAAAGAGAAATGAGAAATTAACTACTTCTACTCCTCCATGCATTTTATATTTAGATGGCCTGAAGAAGTTGGCAATATGGTAAATCGTGATTGCAAACAGTAATTTATGAGTTTAAAGACATCTAAATGACATTTGTTTGGAAACATTGATTACACATCAGTTCCCATATCTGGGCATCTGTCTTTGTTTTTTAATTTAAGTACGGGCATAAATATCAATATGCTTGGATTAATTAAGATAATGCTATTTGTTATTAAGGTTTGAACTGTGTTAATATAAAATAGCTATCAGGAATAAATTATATGGGGGGAGGTGGCTCCTGTTTCTTTTTCTTTTTTTTCCTCATAAATAATTTCACATAAAGAATCTAAGAGAAGCAGTCCATGGGCCGCCTGCTCTGAGAAAGTGGGCTGGGAAAGGTGTAATGGATTGTGCAGGGAGATGAAGGCGAGCTCACACCATATCCAATCAGCCTTTTTCTGAAAGGTCAGGACATTCTGTCTGGGTCCGTTTGTGTTTGTGGTTCTGCCGTTTCCCTATTCACCAACACAATGTAACTGTCAGTCTCAACAAGAGTTCCTGGATCCACTGGCTCCACAGCTCTCAGGGTAACATACAATATTTCACATCCACAAAACAATTCAGCGTCTGCGTGGGCAAACCATATGATGACCACAGGGAGCAATATGGTCACACCCTATTGAGCACTCTTAAGGGGACTCTGTAAAGAACTACATCGGAAAGAGGATCCGGCGTTGCGCCTCTGTGCTTTTGCATACTTGCCAAATAGCATTTTAATGTTTCAGTTTTTATCAGCAGAAGTCAAATGCAAATGTTCCTCCCCCTGCACTGTTTCAGTAGAGAAAGACAGCTTTACTGCTATGCAAAGCATTTGCAGGCATAGAGTTAGGAGGGTGATAGATATTAGAAATAATTTAGCACATTAATGATGGCCTTGTTGAATTTCCCCTGTGTGTGTTTTGTTATATTATTTATTTCTCTTTCCCAAACAAAACCAGACATCAGCTCAAATTTATAAGGGTAGAAGATGGGTTCTGACAGTTGAGGGAAACCAGAGAACCAATACCCTAACATAATTTTTAACCTATGGGATCTGAACGGAGCTCTAGAGAATTAATGCATATGGTACATTTTAAAAGGATTTGGCTCCGAATACTACTTTTTGACCAGTTGATTGATTTAAGTTACGGTCCAGTCTGTCACTTCACTTATAGGAAAATTAGATAAACTACCTAAAGCGACAAGAAAGAGAAGGAACAACAAAGAAAAGAAAAAGCTTATCTTTGTAGGCTCACAATTCATCTTTTCAATATTTATTCTTATTGCTAGAATTTCACTTCTCATTATGAATTAATTTTTACAGAATTTTTTTAAAAAGATGTTTATATCTTCTTGGATTTTTCTAACAGCAAATATACTTTTAAATGTATTTACAAGTAATGTGTGTCCCTTTTCCATCCCCCTCAATGTTTTTTTCTTCCTCACTGTTTAACCCACACCTCTGAAGATTTAAAGTTAATAGCACTGAATTCACCAGATACGTACTTTACTCTTTAGTCTAATGGTGCTAAGTTTGAATCATTTTTGAAAACCTAGTTTCTAGGACTAGGGGTTTAGCTCAGTGGCAAAACACTTGCCTGGTATGCGTGAGGTCCTGAGCCTGTTTGGGAACACAGCAACCTCCCCCTCAACAGAAATAACAAAAACAAAGCCCACTTATTTCTAGTTTTATGTTAATGACATACATGATGATTGTGTCAATCATCTATCAACATAAGAGCATGACTATTACAGGATTTTCTTTCTAGTTGATTCCAATCTATGACATGGAGGAGTCAGAGAAGCTTAAGAATCTCCAATGACTTACCTTAGGCTTTGGAGTGCCTGCTTGTATTTTTGCTGGAGTAGTGTTCTGTCATTTGATATTATGGGAATTTATCCTGCAAATTTTTATTTTAATGAATAAATGAAAGCACATTGCTAAAAGCTGACTTTGGAGAAGCTCTACCATGGTCTAATTTCCCAAATTTGTCTCTTATCCTGAAATTTTACACAGTAATGAATACATAATCACCTTTAATAATGATGGAAAGTACCAATCTGAACAAATATATATATGTATATTGTTGTTGTTGTTTTGTTTTGTTTTTATGCGGTTCTGGGAATTGAACCCAGGGCCTTTGGCATGTGAGGCAAGCACTCTACCAACTGAGCTATATCCCCAGCCCAAATATATGTTTTTATCTAAATCGACAGTTCAATACTTGTTAGAGATTATACCAGAAAATAGCATAATAAAAGACACAAAACATTCGGAGCATTAAATGGAACAAGATGCAGTCAAGGTGAAGTAAAGCTGTTGAAGTGTGAGTCCATTGAGATCTCACTTGCTGACCTTGTATTTCTTGACATCACAATTGAAAGTGGATGCTACGTTCGAATGGTTTGGGTTTGAATGGATTGTCCTCACAGTACCCAGGGATTAGAAGCTCAACTGTCTTCAAGGGCCATGTCAGATTGTGCTGGTGCAAGATAATAGGTTGTGCTGGGAACTGTGGGGACCCTATCACCTGCCCCAGAAGAATGAGCCTGTTGCCAGGTAGACATGACAACCTTTTCTTTTTTTTTTATTTTTTTTTTCAATAAAACTTGTATGCTGTGTCATACGATGAACTATGTGGGGGAACTCCTTTCTTTTTTTTGAGGGGGTACTGGAGATTGAACTCAGGGGCACTCAACCACTGAGACACATCCCCAACCCTATTTTGTATTTTAGAGACAGAGTCTCACTGAGTTGTTTAGTGTCTTGCTTTTGCTGAGGCTGGCTTTGAACTAGCGATCCTTTTGCTTCAGCCTCCTGAGCTGCTGGGATTACAGAGGTGAACTGCATCACAAACAGGTAGGAGCTCCTTTCAATCTGAAAGTTGTCAGTGTGTTGTCTGGAATTCTATGTTCATCTATGAATACAAGACCAGTGTAACCCTACATCATGTACAACTGAAAGAATAGGAAGTTAGAATCCTGTATGTATGTCAAAAAACATTCTACTGTCATATATAACTAAAAAGAACAAATTTTTTAAAAAAGAAAAATATATGACTTTTCTTAGCTCTTTTCTTTCATTCTTATTTATTTATTTATTGAGATTGAACCCAGAGGTTTTTTACTACTAAATCACATCCTCAGCCCTTTTTTAAAATTTTGAGACAAGGTCTCACTAAAATGTTTAGGACCTCTCTAAATTGCTGAAACTGGCTGTAAACTTCCAATTCTCCTGCCTCAGCCTTCTGAGTCACTAGGATCACAGGCATGTGCCTTATTTGTTACTGGTACATTTTATGCTATTAGATCCTGGGTTGGGCTACAAAATGGTAAGTTATTTTAGCATGGGCTTTAATCACTAATTCAAATTTTAGAGGAATTCTTTCTCTTCTCCAGGAGGCAATAGGAAAGCTGGGCTTTTTAATAGCTGGGCTTGAAGTTCTCTTCTTTCCACTTCCTTTTCTTTTGGTTCTGGGAATTGAGCCCAGAACTTCATGTGTGCTTAGCATGTGTTCTCCCACTGAGCTAACCCACCAGTCCAGTCTTTTGAAGATCTTTACTTGCAACTTCGTAACAGTTTAAAGCATAAACATTGAATTATGAATTACTATAATACTGATGATGGGGGTTCAGGATAATTCACCCCAAAACATGGGAACTTGGCTTTTGAGAAAAAAAGTGGAAGCTGTTTTCCTGTTGGCTTTCTCCTCTGAAGCAGATCATTGGAGAAATGTCCTCCTAGACCAGTGGAAAGAAGTTGAACACAGAGACAGCAGGAAGAATCAGAACAAAGTCCTCCTATGTTATTTCTCTATGATTGTCTAATATTCATTAAAACTAACATTAAAAATAAAAACA